TTCGGTTGGATAAGTTATAAAGATGATAAAATTACAGAGGAATTATTTGAGAATTGGTTTAAAATTGAACCATACAACACGGAAGTAATTGTACAACGAGCGGATAAAGAAGGTTGTGAATAAATGAATTTGATCTTATCAAACAAATCAAATTTATTAATTCTAAATTTTTTTTACTGACATTAACAATAATGAAAAAAAAGTTAAAAAAAGTAAAACCCAACAACTGAGGGCCTCGAAGTATCCTATGTTTGGAGGGTTCTATCTCAAAGATGATGCTCCATCTTCATCTCCGGTGCTTGATCAAATTAATGATAAACTCACATCAATAAGTGAAATTAACGATAAATCACAATTACATTCGTCAGATACGGGTCAAGAAAGTGGAAACGTTATTATAAAAGAAAGCATTGAAGCTATAAAAGATCATCAGGATTCTTCTTCAACTGCAACGGCGAATTTTACAGAGACTGTTATTGAAGATGCAACAACAACTATAGAAACAAACGTCTATCGTGTTGTTAATAGTGAAAGTAATGCTGCTAACGCTGCTCAGAATTCCAGTGAAAATTTGTAAAGGGAAAGTACGTCCGCCTTTTCATTGAAGTAGAACTTATAAATATTAAAATAGATAAATAATATAAAGGTATGAAAATTCATCACATTTATTTAATAAATAAATAAATAAATAATTTACACCTCAAAACTGCTTCGTACAGTAATTTCTTAAAATACATTGTCTTTATCTTAATTTTTTTCCTTCAAAAATATAAGCTCTTTCACAATGCTCTAATACTATTCTTAAATCATCGCTTTTACTTCTATACTCTTTACCAATTTTTTTTAAACTTCCAAGGCACAAATCTCTTTTTTCTTTCAAATTCTCAACTTGATCTCTAGGTAAACTTCCTTTTCCACTACACAAGGCCGCAAGTAATCTAAACGATGATATAAGTTTCTTGAATTTGTCATAGTGACTGAAATTAAAGAAATCGTGTTACTATTTATTCGATAGCTGTTATAAGAGTGAATTTTGTTTTTTTTAAAAAAAAAAAAAATACGCAATAAACTTACCTGTCAACAAGTGCAATATGATACCAAGCGAAAATGAATACAGCACTGGCAGCCAGAATAAATCCCAAAGGGGTAAAAAAGAACGTCACCCAAATAAAAAAGAATAATGCCGAATAAGCTATCAGCAACCATGATAATCCCAATGCGATTTTATTTTGTGCTCTCGACTCTTCATATATTTCATATTTCGCTGATATTATACCCAACAGATATATAGGCCAATGAAAACATAATCCTGGTAAGAAAAATGGTAATTGAACCACAAATTTCAACAATTCACGTAAGAATGTATATGTTGCCCATGGAATTGTAAGACTACGATTTTCGTAGCGTGCTATATCAGCGTTGGATAAACGGAGTTCGTCCAATGAGGTCTTATATTGAATTAAATTGTTTTTCAAAGATAATATTTCGTCGGAAATTGTATTTGCGAAAAAATTTATCAAACTTAAAAAAAAAAAAAATGTCAAAACAGCCTAGTTAAATTCAATGGCTTGGAATTAAATTACCTTTAATAAATTACCTCTGTGTTATCTTTACGTAATCTTCAAGTGGCACGTGTTTGTCACCCGAAAATATAAGTTGCCTAGCGATTGTTGCTGCGTGGGAGGTTTCCCTATTTATTACACGTTGACTAATTAATAAAGGAAGAAATTTAAGAATTGAGTAAAGTTAACTTACCAATCTGGGGCATTTATCGTTAACTTTTCCGTTTCAGTCTCGATATGTTTGGTCAATCGTTTGACGGTTGCTCGATTATCTATTTCGAAATCCTCGAGATACGATTCCATGTGTATAGGTGGACCATATCTTATTGACGAGATCAGAGATTAGATAAATTGAAACATTAACATTAAAGGATTCGCACAAATCTACTTACGCAACTATGACCAGGCTCCTATATTTTGATTTTTGAACATAAGTCAGTCCAACGGGAATGACTATGGCCTTTTCGGGAAATTTCGATTTCTTTTTGTCGATATCGTCACGGCCACCATTTGATTTCTCGAGATCAGACACAAAGGAAGCATATTCTAATACAGCCCAAGAAGCACCATCCTTAAATTCTAACAGTCGTGATTGAGAATGCGATGTTCCTATGAAATAACCAGGTAAATAAACACGTCAAATCTCTTGCACCTTTAACAACAGAAATTCTTACCTTCAGGAAACACGGTAACAACTTCACCGAGTTTCAAGACTTCGAAAGTTGCGGCAAACAGCGCTTTATTATTCTTTGTTTTTCTATCGACGGGAACAACTCCACCACTAGTTAGAATTGCATTTAAGATCTTATTTGCAAATAATGAATTTTTTGCCCAGAAATGTAATTTTCTTTTATGAGGAAATGTACTGGCTAACACCGCTGGGTCAACGATCATATTACTATAATTATAATAATTAAAAAGTTAGAAATTGCATTTCTTCTTTTGACACGAATTTCAACAACTTACTAATGCGTTGAACAAACAATAACTGGACCTTCTTTTGGTACATTATCATAACCAACAGTTATAATATCTCTGTAGAACCCATAAATACTCCAGCGTGACAAAGTGCAAGCTATATCATAAGTTATTCCGAATGGCATATTGTAAAGTGGAACTTCTTAAAAGACAAAATGTTTATACAAATTCCCCGAGGATCGAACTTTCGTATAAATACCGAAAAATCATGATGCCACGTTTATTCTAACGCATATGATTTTTGCATAAGAGATATACAATTCAATCATTTGACTGTAATAGCCATGTGATTCATGTAATTTCATTTTAACCCAAGGGGTAACAAAAGGGGAGGGGGGAAATTAAGTCGGTGAAAAACCATATTTGGGCTCATATGTTGGTGTACCCAATTGAAATATCACGTGATGAATACCCGGGTAAACCCATTCAAACTTTTCTTAACCGTTTTTCGTTGCAACTAAATGTACAGCAGAATTTAAATAATGGATAATTTTCTTCCGGGACAAATTTTCACAACTTCTGCAAGTTTGATAGATAGTGTTGATCGTAAGTTTTAAACTTTATTTCTATTTTTTCTTTTCATGAACGTTTTGTTCATTAACCTTTTTAATTTTTATTAAAGGAAAGTTACTAGTGGTACTTCGTGATGGCCGCAAACTTATTGGAGTATTAAGGTCTTTTGATCAATTTGGTAAGGTTAATTAGATTGAAAATGATACGTTCTGATATTAACTCTGTTCTTATGATTTACGTATTAATCAAAATTATCATAAAAGCAAATCTGGTATTACAAGATACGATAGAGCGTATCTATGTTGGTGACGCGTATGGAGATATTCCTCGAGGAATTTTTATAATTAGAGGTGAAAACGTGGTTCTGTTAGGGGAAATTGTAAGATTTCCGTATCCTATATTTTAGATATCACTTTGTTAAAGATTGCATGTGAAATTAATAAATATTGTATTTTGAATAAGGATCTTGACAAGGAGGACGAATTACCACTTCGTCAAGTACCAGTTGAGGAAATCTTGTTGGCACAGCGAGAGGAAATGGAAGCAAGGCAAAAACGCGAAAAACTTAAGAACAAACTATTGCATGATCAAGGGTTTAGTGTGGACTTTACTGAAACTGATTTATATTAATTTATGCTTCCGCTATTATATATACTGTACACTAGTAATTTGAAATGGTTTCGAAAAGGTTACTAAGGTTACTACTCCTCAATTTATCAATCACGATAATACCTGAATTGAAAAAAATAATTAACTTAAATAATTTTGAATTTTTATTTTCGGATTATCTATCTACTTGTTTTTTGTAACCTAAACACATATAATATCCTTCTGTTGACTTTTTGTGCACAGCCTGAGGTTTTTCGTGACGAACTCTGTTAAACTTGGTCTTTAAAAGGTTTCTAAATTCATGGTCAGATTCTCCCATCAAGAACTTTCGTTAGAAAAACGAATGACTGGTTTTAGTTTTGGTTATACAAGCAAAATGATATTTTTTAATTTTTGAAAAAAAGATTCTACCTTGCATAAAAAGGTGCCTCCAAATTTTAATGCTTGCTCAGCAAAATTTAGGGAAGATTCGCATAATTCCTTGAAGCACAAGTAAAAATTAATAATTTCATATTAAATTGGTTCAAATCAAAAAGTTTTGATTCGAGCGTTATTTACCATTGATTTAACATGATCTATGAAATGTTGTCCTGAAAAATTCGGTGCCATGTCGCTTACAACTACGTCCACCTCTCTCTCTTTCAATAGCTCTTTTATCTTTTGTTGTATGTTTATATCGGTAAAGTCTCCTTGTATAATATTCACACCAGGAATCGGCTCAATTGGTAACAAATCAACCGCAATAATTAAACTGTCATTTAATTTTGTGTCAACAGCTTCTGTTTGTTCAATGGTTAAATCTAATTCCGGATAAACCTTTCGAGAAATAACTTGACTCCAACTACCGGGAGCTGCTCCACAGTCGATAAAAACCGAACCTGGTTTAATGAAATTATACTTTTGGTCCAATTCCAATAATTTGAACGCACTTCGGGCTCCTTTTTTATTTTTATTGAATAAAGTGTTATATTCTAAATTATAATTTTTTCATGGCGTTATGAAATGTGAAAAAGTATAATCATTTACGATAATTTTGTGATAATGCTTTCTTGACAAATTGATCCCGAACTTGTCGTGCTATCCACCTTTTTGAAGAAGGTGAGGATGCATATCGAACTTGGTTGAATGATGACTTTTGCCAAGCATTTACCGAAAGTTTCAATCCACCTTGCAACATTTTCAGTGACTTTTGCTAGAAATTTCTTAATTTTTGATGATTAACGAATCCATTAACACCACGACAAGTTTAGTAATTCGATTTGGTTACGTCATTCAAAATTTTTTGTTATATAAACAAATCTTTCTGATTGTTTTTCTATCATAACCAATTTATAAACAATGTCGTCCTTTTTCGAGTCACCTCTCGGAAGTCGTAATTTTTCGACTTTCGACGCTTTTAAGAATGCAAACGATCTCACCAAACCCGTACAACAACATTTGATCAAAGTTTACGCAACACTTGCAACAACCTGTTTGATAGCTGCTGCTGGATCATACGCGCACATTTCGGGTCTCTTCTTATTTGGGGTATGTTTTATTTAATAAATTATTTTTTTTCCTTTAATCACAAAATTTTCTTTTTAATAAAAAATTTTAGGGCGGTTTTCTCTCATTTTTAATAGGTTTCGCTTCGTTGATTGGAATCAAGGCTTTTCCCAATATACCCGATAATAAGAATATACGTTATGGCCTTTTATTTGTAAGGATCTTTTTCTTTATTTAACTTTGACATTAAATATAAAAAAATAATACTTAATAATATTCTTATCTCTACATAGAATTTCGCTTTCATGGAAGGATTATCAATTGGTCCTTTGGTTGATTACTCTCTTCAGATTGATTATTCGTAAAGCATCATAATTTTTAATTTTTTTCTTGTTGAATTGCAATTTTAAATTTCCAAATTAAACACATCCTTTTGAATTTCTTTTTTTAGCGGTCGAATTCTATTAATTGCAACCGCCTTTACTAGTTTAATCTTTGGTTCTTTTACCTTGAGTTCTTTGTTAAGCAACAAGAGAATTTTTATTTATCTTGGGGGTTTATTGACCTCCATTATCAGCTTATTGACTTTGATGTCACTTATTAATCTGTTTATTGGCTCAAGATTATTATTTACTGCGGAGCTTTATCTTGGATTGTTCATGTTTTGTGGTTATGGTAAGTTTATTGACCAAAATCGAAATGATTTAAAAAATGTTTATGACCATCTTTGTTAACTCAATTATTCTTCCTTTAATAGTTATCTTTGACACCCAGCTTATTATTTATCAAGCTACATACCTTTCCTCTCGTGATGTTGTCCAACACTCCCTTGAACTTTTCATTGATCTTGTCGGTATTTTTGTCAGGATCTTGCATATTTTGATTAAAAATTCCGAAGATAATGAAAAAAGAAGACATAATAATAGCAAACGAAACAACAGAAAAACAGCATATGCTGGATATTAATAATCTTAATATTTTAATCTTTAATGTTTATCTGACTAAAGTTAGTATAAGATGATTATTATGAGACGGATATTTCACGATATATTATACATAATTATTATACTCTATAGTTGACATTAATAAAATAATTATTTTAGATTTATTATTTGAAATAAATTCAGTTTTGGATAATTAAAGTTGAAAAAGTTACTTTTAATATTATATTACAAAATAAGTTGCTGAAAAAAATTTTTTGATTACATATAAAACATTTTGATCTCTAATAGATATATATATATATATATATAAAGTTAGATCTAGCTAGCAATGCTAAAATTGATTCAGTACACTCAACATTGTAATTTAGTGGCTAACTCCCTATCATTAATTTTCGCCCTTTCTTTCCCTTTTTTGATAATTTATTCAAAATAAATTTTTTTTATTTAATATACATATATATACTATTTATAATTCATTAGAATATCCGATAACTTTTGTGAGTTCTGCATAAAAGTTTGTGATTAATATAAAGTTTTAATTTCCATTAAATTAATCCATTAACTTTATAAAAAAAAGAAGAAAAACCTACGTTCGAATTTGATGTTTTCTCTTATTACAGTAGGTTTGGCCTCATTATCATAATTTGTGGGAATAATAACAACGTCATCTTTTATTGTAAGTTCCCGTGACTTAATATAAGATTCAAATTCATCATCGTCTAATCGAAAATTATTTAAAATTAAAAAACGTTAGAATCTAAAAAAAAAAAAAAAAAAAAAAATTCTCATTTAATTGTAAAACGAACCATTTGTAAAATTAAGATATGATCTCAATAAATCTGCCGATATACTTTGATATGTCATACAAATAGCTGTCATTATAACTAGTAATTTTATAAAAAATTGTTGAAATTTTTAATAATCTATAAATTCAATGAAATATTGAAATATCAAAAGATATTAACCTTTACGAATCGCATTCTCAAAACCAATAGCTTCACTTGCGAGTTCTTTGTAAGCCTCATCTTTTTCAAAACTATCCCAAAATTCTTGATATCTGGCTTGTTCCAATAATTGTTGCAACGTAATTAATTTTGCTACATTTTCATCATTAAGCTATATTCATTTGATAAAGAAAAATATTAAAGATAATCAAACTAATATCCCAAGAGATTTGATTATTTATTTAATTCAATTCATATTAATAACAAGGATACAGCCCCTTCTTGTAATAAATATAGGCATAAATTGAAATCTGGATTTGGTATAGCTGTCAGGGCTTTAACAAGAATATTGTGGATGACTATCTCGTTGACAAGATGTGGATTAAATTGATACCTAATGAAAATAAATGAATTTATTGGTAAATTAAAGATGTTAAAAAGGCTCATTAAAAAATTCAAATTATTTTTTTTTTGCCGATTTAAATTTAAGGTAATACATTATTTTAAAATCATTGAGGGCAAGTAAATCTTTCAATACTGAGCTACGAAAATATACGTAACTTGGTTCAAATATCAATATATAACTTAATCATCTTTTAAAAATGTATAACCTTCCAATACAAATTCTTAAATTAAAAAATTTTTTTACAAATTCGAAATATAACCTGTCAAGTACTTACAATTTTAATATCGCTAAATTAGCCATCAAATCATATTCTTCATTTTGAAGCTGTACTGCTAAATATTCTTCAAGGATTGATACATTATCAGGATTATATCTATCAACACCGTCAATTAATGATTGTATAATTTCAGGTCGAGAAGGAGGAATTAATGGTGAAGGGAAAAGAAGCGAATCGTTATTCATCTTTTTATTTTTTTTTTTTTCTTTCGTATCCTCTGATCTGATATTTATTGGTTAGCTCACATGATAGTCACATGATATTTCGAAATACAAAAGTATAGAGTAAATTTTTCATTTTTTAACTATGCCAAGTTTTTTAGTCATCTATTGCATAAATGAAATATTTTATTAATTGATTATTAGAAAAATCTCTATTTTTTTTAAAAAGGCAAAAAAATTGGGTTCGGCAACTCAAAAATCATAAATTACATATGTGATTACTTGCAGCTTATTAATTAGTAGAAATAAACGAAAAGCTAACAAGTTGATCCTTTAGCGAGAACCTATTACGTGCGAAGAATTGAAAGTAGGGAATTTTTTAAAATTAGATTTTACACTTGCATTACTTTAAATCAAACAATGAATAAATTTTCCATTAAGCAATAGATAGCTAAAGTGTTATTAAAAAATATAGCTCAGTTACTTAAGAAAAATTTACAAAATTATCTAATTCTTAACGATTAAACATGCTAATTAAAAAAAATTTACAGTTTAGTTTTGAATAACTTTTTTTTAGATGTGTTTACTCCAGAAGGATTTGAAAGAGGTTGAAATAGCCTACTCAAGTCACGCTATACAACATATGCTCGCCATCCTAAGGTATCACAACTATAGTTGCCTGGCAAAACTCATTTTAGCAAATGGCAAAAGTCGAAATCCTATATTTTGACAGATTTGTTAATAAGTATATAATATAGTTTTAACTTTTGACAGGATTTTATTATGGTTTTGAGTTTTGACAAGTTTTCTAATAAGGTTTTATTACAGTTTTGCTATGACCCCGTCGAAACCTGAGAGTTTTGCCAGGCAACTATAATCACAACCACTCAAGAATATACGCAATTACATTACATAATCTACCTAAGGCTGCCATTTAGTAATTATAGTCTACTTCTCCTGGATTTAACCCTGAGATCTGCTCAAATAACATCCTATTGGATAGAAGATTCACTTCAGCCACAGTAATTGATTGTCACTGTTTTTACCAATCTAATTTATAGGATTATCCTATTGATAACTACTGAGATCATGAGATCAGATTCTTTATATAGATGGTGACTTAGTATCTATAGCGTTAAAGTCATTCAGAAATTAAACCTAACTTCTAATCCTACTGACAATGTAATTTGATCCAAATTTGCAATGTATAATGCAATCTATTATATCTGAAATACTTCAAATCTACTAATTACTAATTAATAACTTTCTTACTTGTGTAAGAATCCTTGGGTTTAAAGACGTGAAACAGTATCCATTATAGACTTATCAGAAAAGGCCAAGTTTTTATTAATCTATAACTTCATTTACATTCATATGTTCTTTAAATCCAGTATTTAAATATAATCAATATCAATTGATAAATAAATTAACCAGTTATTGTTCAAAGCATAATAGAAGAATATTATGTATACTTAAGATCATACAATATCATCTGTTATTATGTGAAACTGCCAATCAAATTTCAGGATCAGGTGTATAATCAATATTTGTATGATCAGGTAATAATAATAAAAAAATTAGTATTATATTAAATTATTTTTTATTTTTTTGCTTTAGATGTATAACAGTTTCTGTTCTCTAGTTAACATATATTAGTCTATACAATATAACAGGTAAAATTTTAGATAAAATAATTGGTAGATTAAGAAGTTAATTTTATTATCATATAGATCATTAAAAAGATTGTTTTGTCTATTTTATTGCTATCAATCATTATATAATCAATTTTATTATCCTTAATAATCATATAAATCATAAATATCTATTTAGTTACCTGTAAATCTAATAATTTTATTAACATAGCAACTTTATTGCCTAGTAAATAAAAATTTTATTTCAATCAATATATTTAGTTTAGTTTATTTTATTAATTATTCAATATGTAGAAATATCTTTGTATTTTTTTTTGAGTCTTAGTACTGATGAGATATTAATTTTTTAGGTATTGAACTTATCATTATATTAATAAAAAAGTATAAATAATTAAGTATAAAACTTATTCTTCACAAACTTTTTGAAACTGTTATAATCTATTTGTAAACTCTTTGTATTTATTGCAATTTCTTTAATTATTATTAATAAACTTATTTTATAATATTATATTAATTTATTATATTAACTTAGAGTCTTTAAAGCGTAATCTCTATTTTTGTGTTTATTTTTATGTTTATTTTACATATTTTTATATTAAGAATAATTTTTAACGTTATTGTAAATTTTACTTATGATATTTCAAATAATTGTTTTAGTTTTATTTACCCTTTTATAATTTTATTGAAGTAATAAAATAATTGTAATAACACTCACATATTCAGTTACAATAAAATTCTTATGAAACTTATCTAGTTTTATATCTCAATTAAGGCCTGAATCTGTAGCTATTTCAGTATAATTCACAATATGAGTTTAGTTATTATCAACTGAATTAGTGATACTAATCTTTTTAGTTTTGAATAATATCAAAAAATTTAAAATATAAATAGATTTTTGCTTTTCTTTTACAGAAATTTGATTATAATTTCAGATTATATATTAAAATCTTGAAACATTTAGGATTTAAATGATAATATAAATAAATTTATAAATAATTTAAATTAAATATCTAAAAATTTAATAAATTATATTCATAATATTTAATAATATAAATAGTGAAAAATCCATTTCAATATTTAAATATTTTTAATTTAAAATTTGCTAAATTCATATTTTATAAATCACTTGTTTAATAAAAATATAAAATATACAAATTATGATAAATTTGATTTAATATTTATAAATTACTAACTAATTACAGTCTAACCTTAATATACTGATAGTTTATATATCAATAATTGTTAAAGCTTTGAACAATTCAGATTAATCTGAAGATTTTTCAGATCAATTCAGTTCAAATCAGTTTCAGATTGTATAAAAATCGATCCAAAAATTTTCAGTTCAGTTCAGATTTTTTTCAGATTATAATTCTAATCCAAATTGAAAAAAATTTGAATTGAACTGATAATTTCAGATTAATCTGAAAGTTCAGTTTGATTATATGCGAAACTCTTAGAGGATCGCAAAATTTGCAAATTCTCTAAGAAAATCGTAAAAATTTAGCTAAATTCTTAGAGAATCGCAATTTTTTGCAATTTCTCTTTAAATTTCTCTTCGAATTTCGCAAAAAAATTGCAAAAACCTTGGAGAATCGCAATTTTTTGCAATTTCTCTTAGAATTTCGCAAAATTATCACGAAACTCTTGGAGAGTCGCAAAAAATTGCAATTTCTCTTCAAATTTCACAAAAAAATTGCGAAAACCTTAGAGAATCGCAATTTTTTGCGATTCTCCTAGAGTTTCGCATATAAATTGCGAATTCCTTATATAATCAAACTGTAATTTCAAATTAATTCAAAAATTCCAATTCAGTTCAGATTTTTACTGGTCTGCGATTCAGTTCGAATTTGGATTAGCATTTTTAAAATTAATAATCTGAACTAAACTGAACTGAAATTTTTAGTTCAGATATGAATTGGCATTTAATCTGAACTGACTGAACTGTTTGAAGCTTTAATAATTGTTATATACTGATAAATTTCCTTTATTTCATTTCACAATTAGTAAAAATCTTATATACTAATATTACATATTGTTTTACAATATAACATATATCGATATTATTTCTTTATCTTTTAATAAGTAATATATAGTAACATATATTAGTGTATAAAATTTAGACAAAAGTCATATGTACAAATTGTACTAAAAATAGAAAATTAATGCATGTATTACATAGTATTTCTATTTTTATAAATAATTTATCCATAATTTATCTATTTTTAGTAATTATTTGTGCACATTTTATGTTGTGTAATATGTATATAAAAAATTTAATATGCACATATGTACATTGTATATATGAATTTTACATACTGATATATACTGATATTTTAAGTTACACTAGCATATATACTAACTTTTTATTTTAACGCATCGTATTTTAATTTTGTAATTATGTTTTAATAACTAAAAAGAAAGTCTATATTAATTAAACAAAAGAGTTATTTTAACATATACATAAAAATGTCAACTCCATTTAGATTCTTAGAAAATATTATAATCTATTCAAGAAGAACTTGCTGTTCTATATAAAATTAAACAAAATACTATTTCAGATATTTTAAATAAAAAAAGAGATTCAGAAGAAACAAATAAATAAAAAAAAAGACCTGTTTATTTTCCTCAAGTAGAGAAAGTTCTTTTATTATAGATAACAAATGTACTTGTTGCAGAACTTATTATTAATACTGATATTTTATGTGAAAAGGTAAAATATTTTGCATAA